GAGCTTGCAATTGGCTCATATGTAATGAATATTTGCCATCATCCTTTTATTTACCTCCGAGACCTGTTTATTTAGGAACAAATCAAAGAATTCAAAGTAGTGTTTTTTGAGCCAATACAGGCTACTTCTCACGCCAGGATTCCGTTCTATGCGGTAAGTCCCTTGCTGGGGCTTGGGCCTTTGGCGAGGGACTTTGTTAAGTTTGAGTGCTTGCCTACTTTTTCTGGGTGGTGCCTAGTTTTTACAAGTAGGTTTCCCTAGGTTTCCCAGCTAGGCAGAAACCACCTTTTTACTTTGAGTACCGTTAATGCATTTAAAAAAGGACGGCACTATTTGGCGCCCGGATTTTAAGGTCTGACACCCGGTTGTCGGATAGTTGAATTTTCACACAGCCCGGTTTGAAAAACCGGGCTTAAAAACGGGGCTGCATGCGTCTTTTTTTGCATAGAATTTCTCACTGGCCTTAATCGTCACCATAAGTCTAAATGTTGTGGACCTTGGTACAACTCGGTATTACCCTGGTTAGTCATATATATAGCATATGACATGTAAAAGAAAGTCAAGTCACATTTGATTTTATTTCATGAAACTTATACAACTTTAAAACGAGTGTGATGAGTAAATGAATGTGATATGATAACAACAGAAAGAGACAGATGAACACAACACAAAAAGTATCTATTTACTGGGGCCAGTCTTGCCTAGTTCGGCCCAGGTGTGCATATGACCTTGATACTTTTCAATCCAACTCAACATCTTAGTATTCTCGAGCACTGCTGCATTGCGGTGCTTACCAAATACATCCGGTAAAGGCAGAACAGATGGGTCTTTGATCTCCAAGGCGACAAAATGAATTTTATTGACAAACACAAGTACAATTGGGGTTTGCGTGTTTGGTGTGGTGCAATAAGGGAAAAAAGTGTTGCAGTTTTCTTGGCAAGGATCCAACAATATGATTGGACAATCATAAGCACTTGCTATCACAAACCCCGTCCATGGCATTCGTAACCAGTAACGGTTAGAGCATTCGACTTCGTGGTGATCAAGTCGAATGAGTAGATCTTGAACTATCTCGGCAGCCGCTGATACCTGGCTCTGAGTCTTCATGGGACGTGTTGGAGTCGTAGATATAAGCAATTCATGATCTTGAGCATGCAAAGTAAGTTCGTCGAATAACTTCTGTCAAACATCTGAATATGAATTTTCAGAAAAAGAACCAATACTATGTGCAATAGCATAGTACAGTCAAACCTCTAAAATCCGGTGGGCTTGGTGGACGCCTTTTGGACCGGATAGCAGAGGTTATCGGATTTTAGAGTTGAACTCCCTGCTAAAAACCCAACTTGGTGGACCAAAATTTGACCGCATATCAGAGGTTATTGGATTTTCGAGGACCGGATTGCAGAGGTTTGACTGTATCCACAATTTCCAAAAGCAGGCGGGTTGTATGTTGACTTGATGTACGGTACGATGAAGGCAGGAAGCTGTTGCAGGATCCACTGATCTTGACCCGAGGTAAGAACATTTTCCCCAACATTTTTCTCGACTAATGTGTTCAAGTTGGCTTTGCTGTCTTCTATAGCACCTTCTTCTGACATCGGGAAAACTGCATTCCCAAAGACTCGGCTGGCTTCAAGTGTAATTCTGACTTTTGGATCACTTGTTGGATAGCCCAAATCTTTGGCGATGAGCAACATGGAAACTTTGGGAACCAGCACACGGCGAATGAAGAATTCAGGAGGAAAAGGGGCCGCTTTGTCGGCATCCAGTGCAGCGGTGGAAGATTTGGACAAAAACATTCTGGTGAGTGTGTTGAACAGGATCACAAATCCTCGTTGGCCATAGCTGAGAGGTAATGGAATGTGATTAGTCATTTAATCAAATAACAACTGTGGAAGTACCAGACACTTACTAGCCGGGGTGCTCCACTTCAAAACTCTCAAAGTTGCTATCCAAACTGAACATGTGTTGTCTTTGTTTTTTCCACTTGATTCTGATATCCTCCAGAAAAGGCAAAGAGGTTTGATTATTAACAATCTGCACAAGATAATCCATGTGCTCCTGAATGCGCCTAAGACACCAATTGATTAGTGCTACTTCTAATCAAGACTCAGCAAGATGAACTTACTGCTCTAGCATGCTAAAGTCGATTGTAGTTGGCTAACCTTCACGTATTCCAAAAGGTATCACGGCTCGTTCAACATGCTGTAGCTCACAATGCTCTGTAGTTGTTGGCCACTGAAGTATTACTGATCAGCAAGTCTGATAAGTACTTCTTCAACAAAGACATCACTTACAATCGCATCTGGCATAGCGTCGAGAATAGCTTTCATTGCCAGAAGTTTCTTGGATGGCTCTGACGGATAAGGCTCTTTGCAATATGGACACTCATTCGCGTCATCATCTTCCTGTGCATCCGACATACTGACATCAGAATGTGATTCATGATCTGATGGACTTGAAATAAAATATTCGACTGATGTAGGACTCTGAGGGGCCGCTTCTTCAAGAGGAATTGGTGCTGGTAAATTTGTCAGGGTTGGACAATAATTTGCACAATGTCCTGCCACCTTGCAGGTGCTACATTTGAAAACTCTCTTTACCTGAGGAATTGAAGTTGTCGAGAGTCTAGACGCTGAGATTGGTTGAGAAAAAGTTACAGTTGACTTTGACGACTGTTTGACCCCCTCAGGATCATTACAGGTCGAAGTTGAGGCTGGATTCGGTTGAGAATAAGACTCATTTGGTTTGACTGGTGGAACTTTTGAAATGGTTGAGACTTTGGAATTTTTGGAAGCTTCGGATTTTGAAGTCAAAGCCTTAGGTGTTTGAGAACCTTGATTTTGAGATTGTGAAGAAGATCCTTTTGCAGTCGAAACACGAGCCTTCTTGGCTGCCCTTGTAGCTTCTTTTTCAGCTTCCTTGGCTTCCTTGATTTCTTCTAACTCAAAATCTGACTTCCATCGCCCTTCCTTTTGAGAGGCACCAGGACGTTTCAGATTGTTTCGAGGCCTGCCACGGTTGTTTGTTTTGACAATTGCGTTTTGAATCGGAATAAGTGAATAGCGGCCGGTTTCTAGTTTTGAAAGTTCCTCATAGATCTTCCGGAGGGAATGTTCTGGAAGTTCAATGAGTTGATCTAACTTTGACCTGACAGCTTTCTTGAGGTCATCGAGACATCCCGGAGGGGCGACAAGGCTTGAATGCCATTGGGGATGAACCAGATCGCGCAATAAATTATCAGCCATTTCCAAAGACCGGGCTAACTCATGAGAGCATGGCAAACCCCAAGCACCACGAAAGGACTTGGTGCACGGCCGTTTGAATGAATCAGAAATGAGATCATATTGAGTTTTAATTTTGTTGAGAGCGAAATGAGTGACATGCCGATTGAGGTCTTGAAAACAACTGGGCAGGCTGAGGAGGGTTTTGTGGCTCTCAACACCAGTCGAAATGGTGATCTCCTGGTATTGTAAATCACCTGCGCGCTTGAAGGCCTTGAAACATGTAAGCAAGTCATTGTTACGACCATCTAAGAACCTTTTGAGTCGATAGTGGCCACCTTCCACCCAAGAGGTCAATGAATTTCCAAAATGAGGTGCTTGATGAGCAGTGAATAGCGCTACAAACTTTTCGGTTCGGTTAAGCCAGGTTTTCTCCAAGTAATCCAGGATATGATGTTGTCAAACCATGGTAGTTACGGCTTCAAGGTTTGCATCATAATCTTCTTTTGTTGAACTTTGCATAAATTGATTCCATAGTTTCATAAATTGAGTAAATTCGGGTCCTTTGAATTTTTTTTTGCAGTTTTTGCCGATGTTGTGATTAATGTGCCATATGCACAAGAGATGACAAGAGCTAGGAAATGCTTTGGCAATTGCATTGTACAAAGCTGGCTCGGCGTCCGTGCAGAAGGTCTGTGGTTGCTGAATGTTGGTGTTCTCGGTGTCACCTTCAAAGACAACAGACTTTAACTGTTCTAGAGCCCATACATATTGCTCTTCGACCTTGCTGTGCATGAAACAGAGGGCTATTGTAAAGGTTTGGTGGGTGTTGGTGGTGCCTAAAATGTGAAGGAGTGGAAGTTGTAATCTATTCGTCTTATAAGTGCAATCAAGGCCTATCACGGTAGGGAATCGACGAGCCATTTTGATTCCTTCCGGGCTAGCGATAAACAATGATTGAAGAGTGCCTTCTGCTGACGTGGTGGGGCAATATGCCCATTTAGCTTTGGAGATGAGATCAAATAAACCTTGGATTGGGGTTCGTCCGGCTAACCACTTATCACGTTGTCGATACAATGCATTCCGAATTTCTCTGACAAGAGGTTCAGACCCAGGAGCAAAATTCATGAGCGCTCGGATCTGGGCAGGCCGACATCCAGCAGAAGGGAGGTCCATCTGATGAAGAGCCTCTTCTGAAAACTGTCGATTTTTCGAGTGATAGTTAGGTTGATCAAATGGCTCGTGGTTGTGTTTGTGTTTGTCTTTGTTCTTCAAGTCCTGCTTCACGACCCATCGGTCAATAGTTGATAGGTAGTTGATGGAGATCTCGAAAGGACAGTTAGTCATTTTGGTGGAACTTTTTCGTTCCTTGGCAACCGAATTAACCTGGCGACCAAGAGAGCATCTGTAGTAAACTCAAACTTTTTGATGATGTTTGGTCTTGCCACTTTTGATTGAAATTCCATATCCTTGATGACGAGCCACCGTGTTCATGTACATCATACCACTTTTCAAATCCTTAAATTCCTTGCCAATTATGGGGGATTTCATGAGTCAAACAGGTTCGACACCTAACACAAGAGATAAAAGACAAGAAGGAAAAAAAGGAAAACAAAAGTTAGTTTTTGTTTGTGATCAATCATCAAACATTAATTTAGACTGAAAAACGTACCAATAGGAGGCCAATCCTCATCACGTTCAGCTTGAAGATCAAGGACAACAAGCAAGTCCTGATGATCATCGCCTACGTCTGGATTGGGATCTTTGACTGGTGTGATGACTGGATCTGGATCGTTGAGGCTTGGAGCGATGACCTGTGGGTTGGTTGATGTTGAACCAGTTGGTTTGATCACTTGCGCTACAACTGGTTTGACTGGTGCAGCAGGTTTTGGAGTTGGTACCAAAGATTGGACACTGGTGCTTGATGTAGCGTTGCTGGGGTTGTGTGTGTTGGTGCGGATGTGAGAAGACAATTCAAAAGCTTCGGATGTGGGGCTTTGAGGGGTTATCGTATGACCGCGCTGTGGAATGTCCGGGGGAGTGAAACGATATCCGTTTGAGGTTCAGTGATATGGGTGTGGTGGATAGGTGGGTGGTGGTGGATACATGTATGGGTTATAAAAAGGAGGATATTGCCAGTTTGGTTGATGAGGGTCAGTGTCATCTTCAGGAATAGTGTTCCTCAAATTCAAACTTGGATAATGATAAGGATTTGGCCAGTGATGGTGATGATGAGGGTACATAAAGGGATTGTAAGCATTTGGATGAAAGGGTGGATGAAGTCCAAGTTCAGCTCCCGGGTAAACAGGTCTGGGGGGAGTGATGGTGTTTGGCAAGACTGTTTTGGACCGAGGTGGTGGTGACAAAGGTGTAGTGTTGTTTACGGAGTTTGGAATGGCTGTTTGATGGGTTGAGAAATAGAGTTGATGGTGGAGGACTTGGTGATCGCAAGTTACCGTCAAAGTAAAGAATGGCCAGGGAGAAGAAGGGTTGGGCAAAGGGAGAGCTGGTATCAGCACTAAAGGTTGAAAAGAGTGGACATGGTGAAATCAGAACGTGGCTTACCATATTGGGAACTTGTCCAATTGTCCTTCGATGGATGCGGTTGGTCGACAACAGGTGGGTGGAGGTGGGTGGGGTGGTTTCGACTTTGACAAAAGGGGAAGTGAGAGGCGAAGAGATGAAGGAAGTGATAGCGGGCTGTGCTATCACTTACTTGCAGCCCGATTGGTTGACCAAACAGCCCGGAAACAAGGTGACAACGCCCGGTTTTGTGATGTTACAGCCCGGTAACAAAGAAATGGGCACTTAGGTGAGAGCATCCACAATCGTCTCGGTAAACAGCCTTGGTACGGTAAATTTTACCGTACCAAGGCCCAAATTCCCCACTCGTGTCCAAAATGCCCATTGGTACCTACTGAATCAGCAGAAAGTCGGTAGAGGTCTAGTAAATGTACTGGACCTCTACCGACTCGGTATCTGAAAATCTACTGGACTTTTACCAAGTCACACATCATGATCGATCACACCACCACCCCCAAAAAACAATACTATATACACCTCTCCTTTAACAAAACCATTGCTCACCCTCTTTCATTTTGTACTCATCACATCGATTGCCATTTTTATCAAGTCATCCTGTTGTCAAATTGATTGTTTACAACTTGATTGTTTTCTAATTGCTCGTTCTCATATTGATTGTTCTCAAATCGATCGTTCTCAAATCGATTGTTCTCAAATCGATTGTTCTCGATTCTTTTTTTTTGATTCTTTTTTTCAGATCCATTGTTTTCAACTTGATGGTTTTTCAAATGATTGTTTTTGAAATGATTGACTTGTAAATGATAGTTGATAAACTGTTTGTTCTCAAACTTCAACCCATCTTGAGCAATGATAACAAGTCAACTTGATGATTTGAGATTTGCAGTTTCTTTTACAGAGCACATGATTGTGGGACAGGGTCTATTCTGTACGGTACGTACCGTACAGAATGGTATGTACTGAAACGATAGTGGATTTCTACCTTTCTGTACTTACTTTTACTGTACTGTGAAATCTGTACAGTAAAATTTACTGAACTTTTACTGCAACGATTGTGGATGCTCTGATGTATAGCCCGGTTTTGCTGCAAGCTGCGGCGAAATTTGGCTGGGGCGGGTCCGGGTATGTGGAGATTTGGCGGGTAAAGCCCCAAAAACACCGGGCGTCGGGTTTGATTCGAGCGGGCGCCAAATAGTGCCGTCCTTAAAAAAACCCATAAACCCCGCACGATGGGACTTAGTTAAGTTTGATCAGAACTAGGCCTTCGCCCCGGCCCTTCTTGGCTCTCCCGAAGCCCGCCCCCGAAATTCCCCGGTGGAAAACATTTGCGAAAACTGGTCCCGGCTCCGACCCCGCAAGTGCGGGAGTCGGGGATTCTCCGCATTTCCGGGGGCGCAGCGCAGATTTAGCCGTGCAGGCCTCACTTTTAGCGCATTTTAGCCCCTCCAGCGTCCCCGAAGCCCGCCCCCGCAAGCTCCCCGTCATTCGTTTCTTCCCAACACTCATCCCGGCTCCCGACCTCGCGGGGGCGGGAGCCGGGGAGTCCCCGAAATCGCGGGGCCGGGGCGAAGGCCTAATCAGAACCTACGGATTGAAGTGATTTAATCATCACTTTGTAATTCAAGAGACAAAAGTACGAAGATACAAATAGATAATGACCCATGAATAAACTTCACTACAAAAAAAGTAAAGTTTGAAAAATGGTAAAGGAAGCACAAGACAAAAGAGTTCAGGGTTCCCTTTGCTTTAATATTCTCTGTTCAGGTTGAAGTTGTGAGTACCGGCCCAACCGACTTGGTTTCATCACCCTCTTTTTTTTGATAGGGACTACCCGTTTCATGTAGGGCTGGTAACCCAGATGAGTTTCGGGCCTCCATTCTCCGTATTTCTCCCACAACCTCTCCCTGAAAAACATGAACCTCGCATGGTCGTCGGGATCGCCATTGGGAAGCTGCAGGTGATCACAGTTGTCCCTCTCGTCATACACATAACGACTCTCGTCGTCAGAATCGTGATCCGGTCCCAAGCCCAATTTGATGTCCATGGTTTCACACATGATGAACTTGAACAATCTTGGCTGTTTTGGGGCTCGTCGACCCCTCTCCTGCAAACGAGCAATTTTATCGCTTGTGACCCCATTATTGAAGGAAGTATAAAAATTTGATGAAAGACACCAAACGTGTTGCTGCTGGTGTCCTAGCACAGATGTATGATCATCGCCGGGCTGAAGGAAGAAAAATTAGAATCGCGAGTCTGACGTAAGCCGTCGGATAAATTTAAAGGAAAAAAACAAGTCATCTAAAACGTACATAATCCTCTACACGTACGCTCATCCGCTTGGAAATCGGATGATGACTCTAGTGACCCATCCTATATCAGTTCGGAACGGTTTTACAAGGAGACAAGAGGCAAAGAACTTATTTCGAGACTTGGCAACGACGTGCGGCGGATTGCATTCCGTCTGACGAGAGTGGCCTAAATTATTGACATATTCAAGGTGAATTGAAAGTACAAGAATTTTCGTTAGAGTAGGAGTTTGAGCTTGAGGGATAGAAGGACATATTGATTAGATTGAGAAAATACGGCAGACAAAGAAGGTATTGAATCATTCCAAAGGCTCAAAAAAACGCGTAGATGACGAAAAACTGGACGAGATGGTCAACGGATTCTTGTTCAAGTTGATCATTTGCATAATACCTTCTCACTTTCAAACACACTTTGTAGGTCTATAGCCGTTTTCCAGAGAGAATGGTAAGCATGGATAATGTATGTCACCTCAGTTGTCAAGCAAATGAAACCGAAAGTATCATGCCACTCATGCTATGACTGGTCAAAACAATTAGTTTCCGAGTCCGCGCTGTCAGATAGGGCACCGGCCAATTTCATGTGCATGCGCAAAATTTCTGGCTCAACTAATCCCCTCTTGCGAACGCGCGGCCACAGCCAAATGGAGTCCTTTACTCCAAAAAATCTCTGGTAACAGAATCAGGGATCGACCTCTCATCAAGTCATTCTTACCAAGACGGAAGTATGTTTTTTTGTGCAAGTGCCTGATTCAACTGATTGGCTCTTCTTGAATAAAATACCAAATGAAGCGATGTAGATCATCGCCGCCTTTCAAGTAAGGACGCACAAAAAAAATCAAATTGATGATAACTGATAAATGTTGAACTTCACTACAAACAAACCAAATGATAGAGAGTTACAGGAGTTACAGTGCGAGATGTGGAAACAAGGTTGATTGATATCGAGAGAATGTAGATTACTTAGGAACTAAAGTGGGATAGAATGTCTTTGCGGGATTGTGCACAAGCTTCTCTATTCAGAATGAAGTTGTGAGTACCGGCCCAACCGACTTGGTTTCATCACCCTCTTTTTTTTAATAGGGACTTCCCGTTTCACGTAGGGCTGGTAACCCAGATGAGTTTCGGGTCTCCATTCTCCGTATTTCTCCCACAACCTCTCCCTGAAAAACATGAACCTCGCATGGTCGTCGGGATCGCCATTGGGAAGCTGCAGGTGATCACAGTTGTCCCTCTCGTCATACACATAACGACTCTCGTCGTCAGAATCGTGATCCGGTCCCAAGCCCAATTTGATGTCCATGGTTTCACACATGATGAACTTCAGTAATTTTGGCTGTTTTGGGGCTCGTCGACCCCTCTCCTGCAAACGAGAAATTTTGTCACTTGTGACCCCATTATTGAAGGAAGTAGAAGAAGCCCCCTTGAGGTTTTGATACGTTTAGATTATATGAGTGAGGCATTCCATCAAAGTTCAAAAACATCATATACAGAAGGGTACGTACAAGGTGAATTTCTGATCCCGAAGCTTCTCCTACGCTTGTGACTGGGCTTCCCCACGGTTCAAAGCACTATCATCATCAAGCGAAACGCAAAGCAAGTCAGTTGTGTACTATATCTTTTAGTATTGCATGGTAAAGATAATGAGTGACGGACCTCTGCATACAATTCATCGATGTCGATCTCATCGGAACTTTCCGGGTAAGAACAGCAAAGAGGCGAAAGAGTAGTGTCGGCAAAATCCGACTCCTCCACCTGAAGTCAAAGGAAATCCAAAGGACGATGAGCACATCTATAGAGTAAGATTTAAAAAGAAGTATATAGGTACCTTTCCAGATTGATAGCTCAATATTTGTCCTTGCTGCATTCAGCAAGAATGAAACCATGAGTCGAATATAAGAAGTTATATAGATAAAGACAAAAAAATAGGTTATGGAAGACTTACGCAATGTTGGGATTGTGACAATCCCAATCCCATCAGTTTGCAGCTCAGACGATCGATCTAAACATACATCATTGATCAGCTTAGAATAAAGTGACATGTCGAAATGAGGCAAAGAACTTACCGCGAAACTTCTTTTGGAAGGGCTACGAATAGCGTTCCTTCTAACTAGAGTTTGTTGGAATGTTGACATATTGAAGATGATAAGAGCGTATGAAAGTATGGATTTGGTAAATAAAGTGTATTGGGGTTATGAGGTTAAGAGATTGAGACTAGCGAGAAGAAGCAGCAGCAGGTTATGTTATTTGTTTTTGGAAAAGTTCTTAAATAATTCGATAAAGTGAATGGTAAGAGTGAGGGATGAAGAACCAGAATTGATGGTGAGGTACATTGCTTTATAGTAGGTAAAAAGCAGAAAACCATATCATCCTCACGACCTGATTTGACCTGAAGCTCAGCAGGATATGGTAGAAGGTTCAAATCAACAAAAATGCCAATGAGATCAGATTTCCAGTTAGTCATTTACCCAATTTCTGTCCAAGAAATCGAATCTGAACAAACCTTTTATAAATTATCATATCCCTAAGACCTGGAGATCACCCTTCCAGAAGAGGATGATAGGCACAAATCATATCACATTCCTTCGAATGCCTTGGCTTGCTTCCATCATGCAAAGCTCTTCAGCGTATCAAATTATCGGAGTCTCTTGTACCATCAGCTTAATATTTTACTAGTCTGAGAAATGCAACAAGGCAACGTCCGATGTCAATGACTCAATGCGATAATGGTACCTTCAACTGTACGATAATCTCGAGCAGACGTTATCTGCAGCAATTAGAGTATGGAGCTAGAAATCCGGAGCCATTTGCAATGATCGAGGTATCATCGTGTGTTTTGTCGCATGCATGAACAAACCGCATCACTTCGTAAACGAGTAATAATCCTTTCGAAGGTTACCCCGAATTGATTCTTCAACTGAAAATTTCCAGACAAAGGCCATGTCACATTCTCATTGAGCTCCTCCTTCCTCTCAATCCAACAATAAACTATATAAACCCATGTGATGTTTTCATACTTTAATAAGATTTCATCATCATCTCCTGATTTCAAAGGACTCGTGTATACCAATCTATGACCCTGCGTGCCAGGAATTTACCTTCTTCCCCCCCATAAGATGACACTTTCGTATCCTTGAAGTCAAGGTGATTAATTCGAGTATCTAAAACTGAATGCACATGTTATCAGTATGAGAAAAGCATAACTGACTATATTCACTGTGTCAAGCCAGCCTGTTACAACTATCTAGAATTCTGACACCTGATCAGAAGTCTGCTTACTGAAAAACTACCAACAGGAAATTTCATATCATTTCGTACAAGACGGCTCGAAGAATCTGATCACGAAATCATTAGTGATTTCGAGTCTTGAGTGTTATGATGATCAAGGCAGACATTGTATACCAAAATATAGCAAAAAATAGCTATTGCATTCTATAAATCAGCTACGAGAAATATAAGGATAAGATTAATATCCAATCTGATGCTTGTTAAAGACTATAAACAATCGAAACTCAAATCATCCAAACTTATAAATAAACTTTTCTAAAACGACTCGAGACTTTCTTGCTAAATTTTCTATTTGATCTTTTTCAACTTACTACCGAAAGTCAATATTATCAGTTAAAATCTACTCATGAATTCTATCAATCAAATATGTCCAGTATTCTCTTGTCCAAAACGAAAATGAAAAGTGATAATCCTAAACCCATGATGATGACCTCTACATCCATCTCCTCAAAATCGAATCAACATATACAAAACCATACAAAGAACCACAAAGTTAGGAAAAGAAAATGATTGATGCTCCATAACAAATGCATGAAAACCGATGGTCAAGATTTTTTAAACAGTCGATTTAACTTTCTTTCTAGGTTGCAGAATCGTAATAGCCGGTTTTTTAGGACTAATAGAATCACATTCTGCCGTTCTTTTCTTGGTTTCCAAATCTGGTTGATCGATTGTAAGTTCACTATGGATTTTATGAAACCCGCTTGCTGGTATACATGCTTGAATGGCTTCTATCCATGCTGAATAACCTGTACCGGCTGACTCTAATCGACTATAATCACAATTATGAAACTAGTACAAAAACAAAGGTGATCCAGATCAGTTAATCTTCCAATTACTTCATTCGGACACAGTATTTCAAGACTCACTTTTGACCAAAGCATCACCCAAAGATTCCTAGTAACTGATGAGCTAACATGGCCATTAGAACCTGATGATTTACTATCACCTTGATTCTTACTAGCTGCTGAGCTATCGATACTACCATTATCTTCATCATGATTCCCATTAGAACCACCGGTACCATTACCTATAGAAGTCGAACCCGAAATGACAAAAAAAGCTGAAACTCTTCCATCACAACACTCTTGTCTACCACCCATTCTTTCCCAAAACTCATCAACAGAGGTCATATTTAAAAATTTCCTTTCACGTATTCTATCTGATTCTAAACCAGAAGAAGAACGTTCATTTAACGAATCATCCCAATCACCAATTTCACCTGCAGGATTCGAAGAAGATCTACTTAAAGATTGTAAAAATCTTGCTTTTGGATCATCACAAAGTGCAGGAATCAAATCAGATAAAAGAAAATCGGTTTGGGTTGATACTTTTAATGGTGATCCGATCACATGATAAGGATGTCCGTATATCCAATTTTGATCTAGTTTGGGTAAGATTGCTAATGATTCTTCTCGATCGAATCCTGGTAAGATGTAAAACCGATGAGTTGGACCAATAGAAGAAGAAGGTTTAGATAAAACAGTTTTCCACCATTTAATCAATTGTTGATCATCTAAAATCCGTTTTCCTCTAGAATAAATCATTCCTTCTTGAATAGGTTTATCAATCGAAGGAGGAGCTCCATCACCATTGCCATCTTGAACATTAGAAGCACTACCTGGAAAAAGGTATTGTCCTTCACGAGCAGCACGTGCAAAAACATGGACTCTAAGATTTTCAATCGATCGATTTGAATAAAGAAAAAAATGTGAAATAAACCTTTCGGTCAAAAGTTTGGCTGGGGTTGGAAAAGGAGAAAGTCCAGTCGAATCTAATTTTGATATATAAAGTATACCAACTGAAGTGGTAGGTATCAAATAAAGACTGGCTTCAAGTGCAAAAATCGGAACTGTAATTAGATTTTTATCAATCAGATTAGTATGATAATTTTGAAATCTTTCTGCTAAGACGATTAGATAATCTGTTCTTGAGATTGATTGATTTGGATTTGTAGCATGTGGAAAAAGTGTATGAGTATGAAATGGTTTTGATTTGAGAGTGGTTAAGAAGAACGTTCTAGGTGAGTCTGTTTTGGTTTTTAAAGTCGAAAGTGAGTTTAATAATGATTGATGTAGTGTTGGATGCTTTTGATGGTTAGTGATTATAGTTGAATTTGAGTTCGTTTTGTCGTTTTTCTTTATTTCGTTATCCTCGTTTTGTTGATTGGTATCCTTCATATCCTCCTTGTTTTCTATCTGATCCATTTTGTGCTTCGTATCCTCCTTCTTCTCGATGTTATCCATTTTGTGATTCGTATTCGCCTTGTTTTCCATGTTTTCCATTTTGTGATTCGTATCCTTCTCGTCCTGTTCGTTTTCGATGTGATCGATTTTATCCCTATGGTGTTGTTGTGTCTGGTGAGTGGTTGTTAGTGGTGATGGTGGTGGTGATATTATTGATCGTGAAGAGTTGGCGGAGCGGTCAACAGCCAGTGGTCAAGAGTCAAGACTTAGCAATCGGTAAAGAGGAAGCTTAACTAAGTTCCTCGCGCGGCCGCGTCCGCACCCTCGAAGACTATTCTGGGAAAATTGATAGATTCTCATTCAACATTTCCTGATGCTGAGCAGCCTGAAGAATTTTATGCACTTCCTTCACATCCTACATTTGAGAATTTAAGCATACTTTCATCCAAAGTTCATCATCACAAACGCAAAAAAAGAGTATATCAATGTCAGAAATGCTGATATTTGCCTGATCAACAACGTGCCATCATCGACCTTGATGCATACGTACTTTGATTTGACTCAGACATCCAGTATGCGGCTAACGCAGCTTTTGTTCCAATGATTGCACAGCGCACATTGCAAGGACAGATCCACCTCGTAAAACGGTCCGAGATTTCCAAACTATGTACTCAAAAACTCTGAGCGTTTTCTTTTTCTTCTTCATCTTGATTTATTCACCTTGACCAATTTCCCATGGAGTCCTTTTCCTCATGCTACAAGACTATGTACATGATAATCTTTCGAATAGTAATTTCTATTCTGGAACATAGAGGCATCCATGTATATGTACTCATGAGGTCATCTCCGGATATAATCACTACTTGATGATCATATCTGCCAATGCAGACTCGCAAACAAAGGATCTTATGGGAATCTCATCAAAGGTGGCTGTGCCATTCCAGGCGGTAGCCAACCTCTATCCAATGCACAATTCTTTGTTTGGAAAATGTATGATCTCTTTTGACTATTGCTTCTTTGTAAAAGCTTGGATACTTTAAGGTGATCTTTCAGGGATTATGATCTCATACATACATCAAATCCTTCAAACATTCTGAATTTTCTCTTCTGTAGGCACATTCTATGCCATGTATACTTCTTCAGAGTGTGTGATCAAGCCCCTGTGTGTTCTTGTTGATCTTTAATCATGTTTTTTTATCATTTCATAATCTTTCTACATAGTTCTGGATTTCCTTTATCCATCATTTCAATACATCACTCCTGAGACTGAATTGAGCTATGGTCATAAATATTTTCTCTTCTTAATATCTATGATTATTGCAATTTTGGTAACCCGGACTTGGTGTAGCTTTCTGTAGTCATTCAAACATGAGTATCATCCCTTGAAATTCAAATGGTTGAAATGTACTTATGAAGACTTATAACTACATAGCAAAAGAACATTAATAAAACTATACATCCATGTATATACAAAAACCCACCACAAAATGAAGATAATTGTTGAAGTATTTCTGGCCAAGAAAGAAACACAAATGGCTATTGCAGCTCTAGAGGGTACAACTCAATACTTCCAGCATTTGTCTTCTCGAGGGGGAAGGAATTCAGGATCTAACTTTCCATCTGAAATGTATTCTAGAATGAAATGAAATGAAAGAGAAATCTGAAGTGAAGTACAACAGAGTACAAGTAGATGAAATATTTTAAAGCTTATCAGCCTCAAACTTACATTTCAAGCTTAACATTAGATTTGGTGGCCTTTGAGTCAATAAGGTTGTGTGTTTGTTTAGGTGGGTTTGAATGCTTGAACCTCAACTCTAGGCTCCAGACTCCAGAGTGTTGTTATCATAGATTTGGGTTCCAAAGCTCGATTGGAGATGATCTCTTTTTTTTTAGAATCAAAGTGCACATCGTTTGGAAGATGGATAGCGATGATGTCAGATGATGTCATGAGATGGAATCAGTTTAAGTTGATTTCTCCGGACATTCGGTGTGAGAGAATTGACCCCAGGAATGTTCAAGCTCGGGTTTGGTTTTAGATTGAATTCCGGGTAATCCATCGGTCGGGAAAGATTTAAATTCAAGTTTTTTTTTAAAATAATTTGGTTGATTGGTTGACTCCTGAAGTCTTTTAACCATCCCTCAACTTCTTGGATACAACCATTCACTTCCTCAGCAAGAAATCAAACTTTTACAATCTCAAGAAATAGGGCACCATGAAATCATTACAAGTCATCAATCATAACAATCAAGTAGATCATGAAGTTTATAGATTACATGCCGTTTGTTTACCTCAATCAGTTCATTCATTGAAATTAATCTTAAAACATGCTAAACTTTATGAAAGACATCAACCCATCAAAACAGATGATCCTTTAATCCAAATCCCACTCAACTTAATCGACACTTCATCTAAAAGTTTGACTCCAGTTCTACTTCCACCAAATCATCCCTTGGTTCCTCCACTACCACCTACCGAAGTGCCTCTAGATCAATCTTCACTACTGGGTTATCAATGGCTACCTGATCCAATCGATCCTCCTACTAGACTGAAACATCTTCCAGCTTCTCCTCTTATACGTGCTCTTCAAAGGTTTAATCAAAATCGAATCTCAAATGAACTCTTGACCGATTTTCCAACCTGGGAAGCTTATCATGACTTTTTACTCTTTCAACCTGGTGCATTCCTTTCAAAGCCTTACACCGATCTTATCAAGAATCAATCAGATCAAGACGCCTTTTTTAGATTGATTAGTGAAGAATTTCAATGTAATCATATCGCTAGGAAAGGATACATCGATCGAGCCGATCCTAAAAGACATCCTCATATCGAACCTCTTCATGGTGATTTTGGCAAAGGAGAATTCGATACGACATTTTGGACAAGCACACGTTTTCCAACCGATCATGGTCATATCACTTATGTCTGGGCTCCTACACAAACAATGTACTGTCGTGGAAACGCAATTGAGAAACGAAGGATAGCCAATCTTCCAAATGTGATGGGTAGAATAGTAGTGGATCTGTTTTGTGGGATCGGTTTCTTTACTTTTCCATATCTTCTTGCTGGAGCTCAACGTGTGATTAGTTGTGAAATTTCAAGTTGGGCTGTAGAAGGACTCAAAAGAGGAGCGATGGCCAATAATGTGCTAAGTTATGTTGCAGGATCACCATCAGAATTTAAACTTGATCAAGAGAGTGAAGATGCTAAATTATGGATTGTACCCTATCCGAATGAAAAGGCAGTCGAGATTTATAAAGGAAAAGCTACACATGTCAATTTAGGTTTATTACCAAGTTCGATTGAATTCTTACCTCAAGCTTTACTTGCACTTCAACCTGAAGGAGGTTGGTTACACATCCATGGAGAAGCACGTAGAAAAGAAGAAACCTTTTGGGTGATTAAAGTTTTAGATTCGATTAGATCGATTGGAGAGAATCGTAAAATCCATCTAGAAGGATTACATAGAGTCAAATCTATGGGACCTGTTTTGATTCATTGGGTAGCTGAGATTTGTATTGGATCTCCTATTAGGAATTCGAATTAAATTTAAATTGTTTGTCATCATGAAGAATTAATAAACGTATTTACTTCAATATATACATAATTTTGTTATAAAATCAAGTTTTGAGCTTTCTAACTTAATCTATTTCATTCCGTTCAAACCTGTTGAGGCGTCTTTTTCAAATGCTCCTTGGTGAGTTTTCAGTTTTCCTATTGAAGAAAAGTGAACTTAGCTCTCAATGACTTTAAGTTGTGATCATCCAGGATCATATGTCACTGGTTCAAAAGCTTTATGTCCTATTTGATTGTCACTGATGACTGCCCAGGCTACCCTGTTACAATCTACTGTCTCGAATATAAGGTGAGAAACTCCCAAGAGTGTCTGTATGATTGGGCGGTTAATAAGTTGCAAGAATGTTGATTTCTGAGAAGAGTCCCAGAATATCTTTGGTATAGGATTGTGTCTCATCTCACCTGAAGTTTTGTTCTTGCAGATTAGTGGTGATGTTAAATCTGAATCTTTACCAATTTTGAGGAGGTGTGATTGCTGAAGAGTTTGTTATATTGATCATCTCTTGCAACTCACTTGTATGTCATCTTAAGATCCAGAACATGACATGACCAGATGGATTTAAAGCCATGACTCATGAACATGATGACTTGAGTTATCTTAACAAAGCCAAATCAATCATGTCTACAATTAGAGAGGTTCAAGTTGGACAAATGCCTAAAATACAACTGTCCCTACATCAAAAATCTGCTTGAGCATTTTAGGTTTTAAACAAGAGCTGAGGATTACCACTCTAAGAAGCACACTGATTGCATTTTTTTGCATTTTGTTTCAACAAAAAACACAATTTTGAAGGGCTGGGAGACCCCAAAGTCTCAGACACTTTTTGGCCAACTTGAACCCTAGCTTAACACAAGCCCCACCAATTGCAGAGATCTCCCTGGCTCCAGAAGATGCCTGCACTCTAAGGAGGGACTTAGTTAAGTTAGACTTGAACCCCGCTCTGTAATTGAGAAACTTCATCAGAAGCTCAAATCAGAAATGGATGAGACAATAGCCACAAGAAGAATCACTTGATGAGGGCAACAAGAAGTTTTAATAATGGATGAGCCTTGAGGTGAGAGAGATAAGGAAAGTGAAAAAGATAATTAATATTTTTCCTATCATTTACTGATCATAACAAACAATCTTTTTGTAAATCCATCTCTTTTTCTGTTTCCACAAATATAAACCGCAACCTTATCACTTTCATTTCAATTGACTAACCTATGGTTATACTCGCACCTACACAGCTATTCTTCCGATGATAGTGGAGAAGATTCATGTTCAAAAGATAGAACAAACTTCACACGCTGGAAGGGAAAGATTCCCTGTCAATCGCCAATAGCGGGGTTCAAGTCAAAAATTCCCGGTAGGAATTTTACGACATCCGAGAGAGTTTCTTAAGACAAATTTTACCTAAAACTAACTTGAACGTCGTAAAAATGGTCTAAAAATACGCCACTACGTCTTATAAGGAAAAAAAGAATGAGCTTTGAGACAAAGGTACAGATGCTTGAAAAGGTTTGAAAACGAGTCAAGAGCGTTGATCTTTGAAAAATCAATCAAAAAAAGCCAACAAAGATGACCTGTGTGAAAAACAAAGACGTTCGTAAAAAAAAGAATGATGAGTTGAGCAAAACAGAGAGAGAGAGAGAGAGAGAGAGAGAGACACTCACAGTCTTAAGGCATCCGGTTTGATGTTGTCCCGGTCCCAGCATCAACAGTTCAATCTCTTGATGAGTTCAACCTGTTGATGCTGGGACCAGGACAACATCATCGCATCAACTCACCAAGTCCTTTTCAATCAGTTTGTTTTTTGATATACATACGATTTGACTTCTACAATGCCACGATTTTCCGAACGAGCTCAGATCATCCGGGATCTCACCTTAGCCTGTGTCTGGGAACATCTAGATTCAATGGATGGGTTTGCAGACTACGATGAAGCAGAGCCCGACTATCCCACCGATGGACAACTCTTGTATCCTGACGACCCTGCCGAGGCCGAGCTCTATGATGCAGTTTTCAGCCGAGAAAACGAGTTAGCTGAGTTACTTACTTGGGTTAGCGAAACACGATATCTTTCTCCACGACACAAGGCTCCACACGCCTCTCCGTTCAACTTAACCAACATGCTCCGTGAATGTCGCAAGGACTTTTGACAAGCGATGTGTACAACCCCTGAAGGATTTGAAGCCCTCAGAGATCTCATCCAGGACCATCCAAGCTTTGTCTCACTCAGCAACAATCCCCAACCTCCGGTCGAACATCAACTAGCTATCACTCTGGAGCGTCTGGGTAGTAATGGTAATGGGGCATCAGTTGGCCGTTTCTCACGGAACTATAAGGTCAGCCGGGGTCAAGTTATTAAATGCACTCGGCGAGTCATCGACGTAATCCTTGAACGAGGTGATCACTATCTGGCTTGGCCATCAGCGGATTGTCGAAAAGCCATCTCGAGTGTCCTACAACAAGACGGCTTCCCCGGATGTGTAGGTTTTGTCAATGGAACTACCATTCCTTTGTATCAACGGCCAGGACTGGATGGCGAAGTTTTCTTTGATTGCAAACACTCCTATTCGATCAATGCACAAGTTGTATGTGATTGTGATCGACGCATTACTTACCTTTATGCCGGCTGGCCTGGCTCTTGCTGTGATAGTACAGTCTATGCTAAGACCGATATGGCAGCTCATCAGGACAAATATTTTTCACCTGGTCAGTAGACATACACATAACTCAATTTGATATTTTCTTGAACTAATTGTCTTCTACTTTGTGTAGGTGAGTACATTGTGGCCAACTCAGCCTATATGCCATCAGACACAGTTGTCCCTTCTTACAAAGGACCAGCTGCTGAAGTTGTTCGAAACCGAGAATTCAACTGGTGTGTTGCCAAGGCGCGTGTTCGTAATGAACATTGTATTGGGATTTTGAAAGGACGCTGGGCATCGTTACAAGGACTACGACTGGGATTGAACAAGAAGGACGACATGCAACATATCCTCAAATGGATTAAATGCTGTGTGATCCTTCATAATATGCTTGCCAATCTCGGCAATGCATGGGACAATTTGACAGAACCAATTGTAGAGGACAACATCCAGCCACATCCTGAAAGACCCTTGGATGTTCAAGGCGCACAAGCTATTGAAAATGGAAGGTTGAAAAGGGAGAAAGTCAGAGATCATGCGGTAGCTCACAACTATCTCAGTGGTGTCCTCCCGATTGTTGATCCTCGCTTACCTGATCAAATTTGACCAAGTTTTTCCTTTGTAAATTGTAGAAAGCTTTTCTTTTCTCTAAAAGTATCAATGATCATGTCAAACATGTTTCTTTTATAAATTGTCAAAATCTTTTTAAGATAATTTTCATCTTTTCAAAGAACGTGTTGAACATGTTTCCTTTCTAACAAGTGTTTTTTATAAAAATTTCATCTTCATATAATCAATTGCAATTCAAACAGTGTTTTTACAATTACAAACAACCATCTGCTGATAGTAACTGTGATGATGGACACTCTTACAACTGCAAAGAATTAATATGAATCTCACAACTAACAACTATAAAAATACAGGACAAAAAATTAAAGCACAGCACTTTTTTTTATTGATTTGATGTTTTTTGATGACGAGCTTGATATGGATGATTATGAAAGGACAAAAAGCAGGGTTTTAATAAAGATGAAATTGATAAGTTGATTTCTGATCGATAACTTGATGTTAAAAGGATAAATTTTAGTTTAGTTAAAATGACTTGATTGAACTACAAATAACTTGACTGAAATAAAAGTATGTAAAACAAAATCAAGTGAAATAGAGATTGAAGTAGATAAGCTGGGAAAGATCGTAACTTCTAATGATTAACATGAGAATTTGGCCTGCCATGAAATGATATCATGAGTTGATAATTACATAAAAGTCAAGCTCGAAGTGGAAGTTGATTGCCTATAAGTGCTTGAGAACATAGTCAGATAATCAGTCCATTGAGCTGTTCAATTGTTGATGAGAATCAGAACTTACACAGGTGGAGGCGGAGGAAAGACCGCATCAATGTATTTTTGAACCTCTTCAGGGGTTTTTCCACCCAAGGCAAGGTCTCGAGCAAACTTGACACGTTCAGCTGCTTCTGCTCGGGTGTTCTCATTTGCAGTACGTTTATTTTCATCCAAACGGCTGATCTTGAATTGAACCTTTTCCCATTTCAATCGGGCCTGAGCTTCCTTGTTTTTGACTGCTTCTGAGGCCAGGCGCCGCTTGTTGATTTCCTTGATCTCGTCACTTCTAGCCTGGCTACCAGTCATCAAAGCCAGAGCGATAGGGTTCTTGACATCCTTGTTACGGACTGTTGAAGGATCGATAGCTGGTAGGGGATCCATTGAGCGAGATGCGATGTTTGATTTGCCCTTCTTGGATTTCGTCTTGGGGGGTCCCGAGATTTCTGAATCATCGCTTTGAGGACGGGGTTGCTTGCGGCTTCTCTTGTTGGATGATTTCTCGGATGGTTGTGTGTTCTGAACCGTATCACTTCCATTGCTTTCTTCATCAATATTCTCACCCATTATCTCATTCAGCATCTCATCCACACTATCTTCATTATCAGATGATTTCAAAGTGATTCGAGACAATCTTTTGTTTGCCGAGGTGCTGGATTTCTGAGGAGGCCGCTTTTGAGTTGTTTGCTTTTGCACTTTGTTCTCATCCACACTATTGATTGGATCAGATGATTTCAAAGTGATTCGAGACGATCTTTTGTTTGCCGAGGTGCTGGATTTCTGAGGAGGCCGCTTTTGAGTTTTTTGCTTTTGCACTTTGTTCTCATCCACACTATCAATTGGATCATCTTTAATTGGAAAGACTGCAACACCAAATTCACGACTTTCTTCCAATGTTGCCTTAACCTGAGGATCATGCCGATCTAAACTCATATCTTCAGCTATCAAACATGTAGCCGTTTCGGGAATAAGAACTTGTCGGAGAAAACTATCTGGACTGAGAGGTGCGGCTTTTTGTGAATCAAGGTGATGACGGAATTTTTGGTCTTCTATAAAGATATTCTCCAGTGTTCTTACAAAGATCTCATATCCTTGATATCCGTAACTGAAAGTCAGAATGAAATCCCAAGATTAACAAGGAGTAAGAAACAAAGGAAAGACAACAATAGTGAGATACTCACTATCCGGGTTGTTCCACCTCAATGTTTCCTAGCAGGTGATCTGTCACACTGTCAATTCGATTTCTGTTACACTTTTTTTCTTGCGCGTAATCAAAGTAAACAGATGTTTCGCTTTTGTTGACAATCTTGCTCAAGAGCTTTTTATGATTCTTGATACGGCTATGGACAAGCAAGATGGATCAGTATCACTAATCAATAGTAGTCAAGCAATCTCACATACGCTTCTAAACCGTCAAAATCGATTATGGTTGGCCATCCTTTGCTGATACCCTCTGGAATTACAAAACGTTCAGCCTGATGTAGACTACAAAAATCCCCTGTCTGAGGCCACTGAACGTTTGGTGTTGCCATTAAGGTATCCCTCATTTTGATCAGCTTACTTGACGGTGCAGCAGGGAGTGGTTCGTCACAAAAAGGACAAAGGTCTTCATCTTGTTTCGATTTGCTACATGAATCATCTGAGTCAGAATTGAATTTATTGAGAACATGATCTTCATCTTCTTCATTATCTTTGTCTTCTTCAACTTCATCAACTTCATCGTCTTCGCTATCTTCACTGTCTTTGTTATCTTTGTTATCTTCATTCTTGTTGTTCTCCTGGAAGTTTCCATCATATAATTGATTGTTATCATTTGAATATACTAGTGGCGAGACATTTTGTTGAATTCCACCCATGTAGTCACCACATATATAGCCAGCTGGAGGCTCGATTGGGGGTGGCAGGGGGCAAAAGTCGTAATCGGGGAAGTTGTCATTGACTGCAGCTGATGCTAAGAACCGTTGTAAGGCTGAATGTGATTCGTGTATGGTGGTTGGACAACAATAATCAGAGTCCGCGAGTGGTTGTCTTTCAGCCTCGGGATTGGAGTCAGGCTCTTCCAAAGAATTGTCCAAAGAATCTTCCAAAGAATCGTCCAAAGAATTGTCCAAAGAATTGTCCGAAGAATCAGAAAGTGGCTTGGATATTTGAGAACCGCCAATCCCAGAATCCAGGATTCCAAGAGCCGAGATATTTGGTTTGTCTTTGAAAAGGGCATCCATTTGATGGAAGCAAGAACACTTCTTTTCTAAAACGTCATTGAGAGTGATACCTTGTGCTTGCTGCTTTTCAGTCGTACCTGCACCAGTCCCACCTAGCCAGGTCTTAGTCTTAGAGCATCGTCTTTTGTAACAATCCAAGCGGTCTCGTAAAACCTTTCCGGTGAGCCGCATGACCTTCTTATTAGGCTGAGATTGGGAATGAGAGAAAACCTTGTTTCGTTTATTGTATTCTTTGTTGATGTCTTCAGCTAGGCCGTTGAGGATAGTCGTTGGGGTCATTGATAAGCCAGTCACCTTGGTTCGCTTGCCACCACCAAAGAGGAGATCGAAGATCTTTGGTTGAGAGATGTACGTGACTACATGGAGGTAGTTGGCTTTTTGAAAGGGAGGGCTGTCTTCGTGAGTCTGTGCGTCTTCTTCTGCTTCTTCGTCTTCTTCTTCTTTAGTTGAGACGGTAGCAGGAGCTTTTTGAGTAGAATTGGCAGGTTTTGATTTCGGCTTTTTTGATGAGCGTGAAGTTGAGGTGGCAGCAGGAGTTTCTCCAGTCAAGTCTTCATTGACATCCTGCGATTCTCGCAATCGAGAGGCCTTAAGAGATCGTCTGACCTCGCTCTGAGTGAACTTGCCCTTCTTCTTCCTCTTGGATCCAGATGCAGCACAATCAGCATCAATCTGGAGCAAAGTGCGACGGGTCCGGGCGGGCTGAAATGTGGAAAGGAGAAAAAAATCAACATATTGATCAACAGTTTCATGATGAGAAACAAAAGGAGGACAATACCTTTTTGGCATTTGTGGATTTGGTCTTTGGAGGCATCTTGAGATACCACAAAAGTACCCAGTGGGTGTGGATATCTATGAGATCGAGTTGATTTCAATAGATTTGAGTTGGGTGATTTGATCGAAACAAAGATCGACTTCGAGTTGAGACAAGAGGGTATTTGATTGATGAAGTGTTGATGGAAAAGAAATGAAGACCAGGCGATTCAGAGGTTTAAATAAAGATGATACTGAGATAGTACTAAAGCTAGTGACGTCCTAACAAAGCCTTTGATGTGAGATTGAAATAAATAGTAGAAATTAACCGAGTATATTGATTTGTTGCATGAGATTGATTGAAAAGGGCGGATTGCAGATGATATGAATACTGATAAATTGGATCCTTTGATTGGTTGGCGATGGCTTCTTGCAGTCCTTTAAGCTGATTCAATGATGTGTTGGTTTAATCAGACTGATGATGGGTCTCAAATCCGGTTGAGACCAATCACAAGTCACAAGGAATTGGTTTCTTGAGTCCGTTCAAGTTTCCAGAGACCTTGTTCTATGATCCTGATGATTGATAGATAGTTGATTTGATCGATGAGTTGTTGAAGCAATGAGGTAGGTGATCATTCTTTTTGTGGTGAGGTATTGTATAGTGCCACCGATCTCAACGGCGATACTCACATAGTTGTCACTCCGACTGTCCCACAGCTGTGACATCCAAGTGTCACAGAGCAATACAGGGAGCTTCTTGGCTCCAACCCGTCCGCCCAAAGTCACTTATCTCTGTTGCTATGTGTTCAAGAAGAGAGAAAAAGTACAGAGTAGACAGTTTGAAGACAAAAAAAGAGATTGACAACCGCTGTTTTTTTTGACAGGACGGTTGAAGACAAAAAAAGTGGATGACAACCGCTTGATTGTTTTGAAAAAGATGGTTGTACAGTTGCTCCAGTCTAGTCACGACCAGACTCGCTCTGCAAAATCGAAATTTGATTACACAAGTTTACACACTGAACTCTTACTTACAAATCATGTGTAAAAAGTCATTTTTGGGCTCTAAGGGGGGTGTTTGTGTCAGAAATGACTTGGTGAGTCAATCTGCTTGGCCAATTTTTATTTTATTTTTACAAACCTCCAACATTTGGGTCTAGGTACCTAATGGACCTAATATTAAGTCCTTAAGTACCTTACTTAAGTATTTAAATCCTTAGGTAGCCACTTAAGCTGTCACTTATGTACCTTAAGTAAGTAGGTGGAGCACCTCTCATCACAACTCCTGGGGTACAGAACAGCATAGACTTGTATTTTTACAATACAAGGGTGAAGTATGCAGTGATAGAGTGAAGAAAAAGAACTTTCACTGAAAAAAACCCCTGCAAAATTTTTTTTGGGTATTACTGGGACCCCCCAACATTTGGGTCCCGGGGCCGGGGCCAGGGCCGGGCTCTGGTCGTGACTAGACTGGAGCAACTGTAGGCAATCTTACCCGCCCCTTTTTTTTTCCAAAAGACGGTATTTTTTTCTTGATCCGAAAAAAGGAAGGTCTTAAAAATTATAAGCGATGTCGTATAATTTTAGACCTCGCGAGTAGCTCTAAAGCTACTCGCAAGTCATAAAACGTGACTTATAATTTACGACCTTCGAGCGAGGTCTAAAAGCCATTTTAGGACCAAATCATTTTGACTTGAACCCCGCTAATAAGGGGGCTCAAGTCAAAATATTTGCCGCCTTTTCTTAAAAAATCGGGGAAAGTTTTTTACGGTACCGTGCTGTAAAAACTTTTCCCAATTCGTAAAAAAGGACCAAAAAATTTCTTTTGGATCTGCTTCTGAGCAGTAAATTTACGCAAATTTGCTCCTTAAAAAAATTTGGGATGTCGTATAACATTTCCCAAATTCATAAAATTTTGCGTAAATTTTATGAAATTGGGAAAAGTTTTTTACGATAAAAGTAGTAAATTTTTTTGACTTGAGCCCCCCTAATGATACAGACTCCGTAGACTCAGAGTGTGTAATTAGGGATTTGACTGACTCATGAATTGTGTGTAAGGTGGTTCCATACAGCAATTGATGATTACTATCTCCAGAATTTGTCAAGGTCAGAATCATCAAAGTGATCATAAGCCAGCTACTAGCCTTTGAAGGAATTTGACCCAGATGAAAGTTTTGGTAGAGATGTCCGTTGCCAATGCTCTAAAACGTTTTGATTAAGTTGTCTCGGCATTGATCCGGGCATGGTGAGTCCAAAAACACAGTCTTGCATCAAAAGGAAGTCATCGCCGGTGGAATTTCTCGACCACGGCGTCCCGCGTCGCCCGCTTACTGTGAACGCCTTACGGAAACGGTCAAGCGCTTTCTGATCTTCGAATCGACATGTTAACGATGGAAGATTCTGCGGAGCAGAACTTCTATCTCATTGACAAAGAAAACAAAAATATGAAAAACATACTTTAATATTTACTGAGACAACGCTATCACTCAGTATCAAGAGTGAAAATTTGTTCAGAGATGACCGTTAGGTCATCAGAGACCTCAGCCTGGCGGTTTGAAGAACATGAAAGGCCGACCACTACTTCAGTTTGAAGTGCTTTTGTTTGTTGGTAAACCAATCAAATCCTCACACATCAGCTGTTAAAGCTCATTCGAATCATACCACGTCAATCAAAAACACAAATCAGTTCAATGATACGTATATAAGGAAGATGGCCTTCTGCTCTCTAGGTCCTTATCGCAAACCAATCACCGAACACAACATTTTCAATCAAAACACTCGGTACGTTTCTTATCTTTCAATTTTGTACTCTTTGCATCCTATCTTTTGTAACGGGGCCATACTTTCCAGCCATGAAACATGCGAGTCACCTGGGCTGATATCTTTTAATTTCTTTCTCACATTTGACAAAGTAGCACACTTCATCCCCAAATCACCCCCAAATACAAAAGAAAAAAATCTACACAAAGCTCCGAAATCTCTTTCAAAATCAATATCACATCAACTTAAAATGGTCAGAAAGTGAGTTAATAGCTAAGTAAGGCTTCCAAAAGTATTATCCAAATGAATCATCATTTGACTTTGATAAATTGCACAGACATCAAAAACAATCAAAGCACACACAGCCACCAAGAAAGGAATACCGCACCATTGAATTCCGTAGGATCCACCTCATATGCATGAACAGTGGAAAAAGCATTATTCTCGGCCTGGTATTTCTGCATTTGAGATCTCCTGACTTCTCTCACTTTGAGTATCACTTAGCACAGCTTAAAAATTTCTTTGTCATTGAAGCAGAAACACAAACATTCCAGATAACTCGGGCTCAACTCAACAATTTGAACGAATTTTTGGAGCTCTTCAGTAAGACAATCAACGTAGCAATGTTCCAAACTTCTTACAACACCATCTCATTTCTTGTTCCACTTTACAAAGATCAGTACGAAATTCAATGGAACATAGTCAGCTCAGGTAAGCAGGGTGTTTTGGACAAAATCAGTAGGCTTCCATACCCCTCAGACTTCTGGACGGTTGCTTCATACCTCCCCAAGATTATAAATCGCACACGTTCTTTCTTGCCCTATGATCTCCCAAGTCTATCCAATGAAGAAGAGCTGACGCAACAGATCAAGAATGCCATCAAAAATGGAATACATGAGATTTATCTCCAGAAGATTGGAGTTGCTTTTATCAAGATGATTTGTACTGTAAATCTCGTATCTGGGTACCCTTACACAGAGCTCCAGCAACTCAACAAGATGCGAAAAAAAGAATTGAGACAATCAACTTTGAGTAGCTTGTTCCTCCGTACCCCATTTTATGAGCGGGTTTTTTCCAGAATTCCACTATTTCAACAAGTTTACAAAGAGGCAACTGAAGATCAAGGGAACGTTAAATCAAATCACAAAGGCATTGTCAAAGTGCTCTATGTAGCACTGGGCGCAATATATTTTTCAGATGGTTTGAAACGCACCAAAGAATTTGCTCGAACAATTGGCCTCGACTGTTATTTGCATCATTGGTATACCACTCAATATAATGATGTAAATGATATGGAAGCAATTGTAGGTGAAGAAGAGGCACAAGAAAAGCTCAACTACAGGTTTCGGAATCCTAATTTACTTCGAAAAGCTCTCACTCTTGACCACCCAGAATTTCGGCTCCTAGAATGGATCGGAGATTCTGTGCTTGACGTATGGGCCGCAATGGAGATAACAAAGCATCGGAAAGGCCACAAGGTAAGCAAGGCAAATGAACGTTTCATGGACCTAACCAACAACGAATTCTTAGGTCAACGGGTCACCGACAGCTTCAAATCTTTGAAACATATAATTCAAAAGCCCCGATTTCTCGGAAAATTGTGGTTGGGAAAATTCGTCGAGGCACTGATTGGTGCGGTTTTTTTGGATCGTAATAAAAATATAGACATTGAACTTTTGAAGGTAATTGACTGTCTGATAAAATCTTAGAACAGGCTGGGCCTGATATAGCAGTATCCAATCAGATTTCCATTTCATCTTCTGTCCTCACAATTTGTATTTAATCATTGTGACATTCTCACTGTTAAAAAGATTTCAATCGGACAGGTTTCTCCGAAAGGAATATCATCAAATAATTTGAAGAAAAATGTATATACGATTCTGTTTCTCGATTTTATTTTGTTAAAAGGAGGGTGTTTGGTAATTTTACACAGAGTCGCATCTACATCAACTGTTTTGTTGTAAATGGCCCGGTAAAAAGATCTCCCACCTCAATAAAAAAATCCTTTTCAAAGGGGTAGACTTATTGATGAGGTAAAAAATTCCAACAAAATTCGATTTGAAGATCCAAGAAACTAAATGTCTATTGATTGTCACACATTAGCAGTCAATGCTGAGCTGACAAAAATTTGTGGGCGACAAAGGCAAACGAGGGATATTGAAGCCACATTTTTGGCTTGAAGAAGTTGGCGACTCATGCCTGGTTCAACTCCGTTGAGGCCTCTCGACGAAAGAGCAAGGTTTGGAAGGAGCCACCATCTGTTAGAATAACTGGAAGGTTTTGACCGTCCGGCGTGTGGCTTTTGATCTACGGATTTTCCACACGGGTTCAATTCATGAGGTACATCAATCTCGGAATTAATCTGTGAAAAGAATCTACAAGAAGTCTGATAGATGAGGGGAAACGAGAATACACTTACGAGTTTTTCAGTCCAAGGCATCTTGAGACCTTTGATAACCGTATAATGTGCGTAGGCCATCTCAAAAATCGGACGGGCTAAAGATCTTCCGTCTTGAGAGATTTGCTTCCAAGGACCTCCAAGCACCGAACAATGACAGGTGAAGAAACTAACAAATGAAAGAAGAAATAGATAGGTTAGCCAAATTTGATCCAAGCTTAAACCACAAACTATTTGTGAAAAAGTGGACTTATTACTTGGTATCAAATGGAACATCATCTCCACCAATAAATCTTGCTGTATACTCCAATCCGGTCAGTAATCGATTGTCAGCGAGCGAGTAAAAGTCGTCGCCTTGATTCCACATCATTTGAAAAGCCTCGGCGTAACTCCCAAGTCCAAGCTGAGTGTGCTGTTGATCTCTCCCGCTATCAGAAGATTGACCGGTAGGATTGATGATACCTGTGAGATTGGCACAAGGGGCGAACTGGATAGCCTTTTTTCCAAGCTGGTAAAGATGATGATCATCGAGAAAAATCGAAATTGCTATCAAAGCCTTTTCAGCCGATGTGCCCCAGTTTCCTATGAAGGGTAATTTTTGATCTTCGTTCGGTCGAGTTTGTGTCACAGGAGGTAAGATAGCCTCTCGCACCATAGTTTCAAATCTCGAGATGCTAGCTGGGTTCCAAAAGTCACTGGTATATCGCATGATCTCGGCTGCCTGGATTAAAGTACCTCCGGTCAGAGACGCGATGAGTTGGGCACCGTTTCCTACCATCGATGATCAGACACGGGAGTATAGTCAGTAGCTATCTGCGAGAAGAAGATCATGGAAGCCATACCCTTGAATTGTTTGAGAGAACCTGCCCATGTGTCTAGAATCTCGATCGCTTTTCGCCCAGCCTTTTCATTGCCATCGATAGCCCATAACAAGGCGAGTTGACGGGCTGCTTGGCTATCGCCCACAAAGGCTTCCGCACTAGCCTCGTAATCGCTAGAAAACTCACGGGTAACGCACTCGTAAGGCCCCATCAAAGCGTGATCAGGATTTGAGTATGCATCATTGACAAATTGATTATAAGCGCGCTCTTCAACCCATCCACCGTGCTGTTTCTGAAGCTTGATTCTTGCAAAGTCTTCATTAGTGTGCAGTAAACCAGGATGCATGAATTTTTTGCGACGTATACTTGTCATCTGAGGATGTTTTGCACCAAGGGCGTCGAGTGAGAAGTTGACATCTGAGACGAAAGCCAGCGAAGAGCCGATGATCGATGCGTCAACGCAGCGATAAAGAATGAAAAGTAAGGAAAAGAATGTCGGCCACTGCATATTGCCCCGGTTTTTCTAGTAAAGAATGAACTGGCGAGAAACCGGCAATGTGCTGCTTGTTGAAGATAGCGAGAGAAAATTATGCTTCCAGAAGCTGAGATGATGATGGTCGGGAGGGAATGCATGGATCACCTCCTATTTATTGTTGTACCGCACACCACCTGCCAGTCGTTTCTCTTCTCGTTTCGTTCGACATCTTCGCAAAGTGCCGGTGCGTCCAATTACAAATCATGACGGTATGTCCCCACTTTCCGCCAACCAATCTGACCGCTATACAAGAGCGAGTCCCCAGAACTCTTGTATGTAACTCGTGTTGGGTCGTGTGCTCCAGAGAATTGAGGTACACATCGTTGGAAGCGGGCGAAAGCATCTTACAATCTCCAGGGGTGGGGCGCAAATGACCTAGACGCCACCTTCTATTTCACGGACCTTGGTCAAGTTTGACCTTGGAACCTGAAAAAGCTTTCAGAATGAGTGTAAAAATTCAAGAAAGTGAAAACCCATACTAAAGTACAAAACTGGTGTTTGTCGGCATAAAAAAATGACGATTCTCACCTTTCGTTTAAGCCCATCAAATTGCAAATTGCAAGACATTCGAAGGCAAAACCAGGAATGATACCAAAAAAGAATTGCCTTTCATCTCTACAAACTCGTAAATCACAAGACTTGGTCAATTCTTCATTGTAAAAATCACTTTCATCATACATATTACCTTTTTTTCTATCTTGTAATAATTGAATTCAATTCTGTCATTCCAGTTCATTCCTTCAGTAAATTAAATTGATAGTAAATTTTGGTTTTTCAAAAAAAAAAACATGATTCAAAGAAAAAACCAAACTTGATATGTAAAGAAAGAATGATAAATTCAAGAATTCCAACAAAAACAACAAGATAAATGATTGATGATGATAAAAAAAATCACACACAACACACAATTATGATTTACAACAAACCAGATCATCTTATAATTAATCACATCACATGAAAAACAAATCCAAAGATGTAATGATTAATGAAAACAAAAGTAAAAGTAAAAGTAAAAAAAAGATTTAAGATCAATCTATCAACTTTCTTCAAATTAATTTCTTCCTTAACGTCATAGTTACAAACAAAATTGATCATCAAAGATCCAAACCCTTCAAGAATTCGTTCGTTTAGGTTTACAATTACTCATCATCAAATTCCCATCACTTCCACTTTGCCCAGAATGTCCACTATTCGAAAGATTCGCAACATTAGCTTGTTGTTGTTTCTTTCTTAATGATTGAATAGAAGCAAGTAAATGAGCACTAGTAGTAGATCCAGGTTTGGAATTAAGAGAAGAACTCGTTCTTTCTCTCAACCTCCGTCGATTTCCTTCTTCTTCTGTTTTGGTTTGAGTTACATTAACAGATTTAAGTTGTAATGGTTGTGATTCAGTTCTTTGGATTTCTTGATTCAGTTCTTGATTTGCCAACTTTGGATGAAGAATGGTTTTACGTGGTAGACTACCGTCCGAGATTGAACTCGGATTCTCTTTAGCATCAATCACTGGGTTTAGAGTCGAATTAAGTTTGTTTGAATTGATTGGATTGGCTACGTAACCTAATTTACGTTTCCGACTGGCTGGTGATGGGGCGGGAAGGGCTGCTGGGATTGGTTCGGATTCTAATTCTGATGGGAATGTCATGGGCTGTTTTGGCTCTTGTTTCGGCTCCTCTTTGACATTGTGATTCGCACTTTTTTCTTTAGTTTTGATCCTATTAAAATCTATCGTCAGTCACGCAAAAACACCAAGAGCTAATCTGGCTTGCGGGCTATGTATAAGAGATGGTAGACTTACTTGACTTTCAAATTTTCTACCATACTAGATAATTGTTTATTCTTTTGCATTTGATCTATCAATCTATCCATTGCATCTTCAGCTTCATCTGTCTTACTCGTCAGTCGAGTTTCAAGATCATTGATTTTTTCTGTTAACTCTACAGATGAAGGTGTATTCCGATGAAGTTTGCTCATGGTAGCCAAATCAGCTTTCAACGAATTGATCAATGTATTCTTTTCTTCAAGATCAGATAAGAGAGCGTGTTTTGTTCTTGCATATTCTTCAACCTGATTTCGTAAGACTTGTGCTTCATCCCTGTGCAAAGAAAGGTATTATATAGGATCAGATCAATCAAGGTGATTCTTGTCAATCGAAAGATGAAGATATCGAAAGTGACTCACATAGATTGTTGTAATTTATTGTGATGTAACTCAAACTCCGCTACCAACACGTCAAACTCTTTTGCCAACTCATCATTCAATCCTTGCTGAACTTTGAGATCTACAATCTCAAGTCTCAATCTTTCAAGTTCTAATTCAGCTTCGTTGTATCTTTTAGATTGAGAATCACTGGACTTTCGTAGGAGTTCCAATTCCACACGAGCCTGATTCAAGTCCTCCGAAGCGGTTCGATTCAAATTCGAAGTCTCTTGAGTAGATATAAGTTCAGCTTCTAATTCTTCAACTCTCGTCTTCTCAGCCTGGATCTCAGCTTGAAGAGCTGAACAACTCTCTTCTTTTTCATTTTGCAAACCCGACATTGATTCTCGTAGGACTTCTAATTCTGCACGAGCTTGATCCAAATCCTCCAAAGCGCTCTCCTTCGCATCCAGAGTCTCTCGAGTGGATTTGAGTTCAGCTTCCAATTCTTCAACCCTCGTCTTCTGAGCCTCAATCTCAGCTTGAAGAGCTGAACATCGTTCCTCCTTTTCATTTTCCACATTCGTCATCGATTCTCGTAGGACTTCTAATTCTGCACGAGCCTGATCCAACCCATCCAATCCGGTTTGTTTCGAATCCAAAGCTTCTCGAGTAGATTCAAGTTCAGCTTCTAATTCTTCAACTCTCGCCTTCTGAGCCTGGATCTCAGCTTGAAGAGCTGAACAACTCTCTTCTTTTTCATTTTGCAAACCCGACATTGATTCTCGTAGGACTTCTAATTCTGCACGAGCTTGATCCAAATCCTCCAAAGCGCTCTCCTTCGCATCCAGAGTCTCTCGAGTGGATTCAAGTTCAGCTTCTAATTCTTCAACTCTCGTCTTCTGAACCTGGATCTCAGCTTGAAGAGCTGAACAACTCTCTTCTTTTTCATTTTGCAAACCCGACATCGATTCTCGTAGGATTTCTAATTCTGCGCGAGCTTGATCCAAGTTCTCCGAAGCGGTTTGATTCAGATTCGAAGTCTCTCGAGTAGATTTGAGTTCACCTTCTAATTCCTCAATTCTCGTCTTCTGAGCCTGGATCTCAACCTGAAGAGCCGAACAACTTTCTTCCTTTTCATTTTGCAAACCCGACATCGATTCTTGTAGGACTTCTAATTCTGCACGAGCTTGATCCAAGTCCTGCGAAGCGGTTTGATTCAAATTCGAACTCTCTTGAGTAGATTTGAGTTCAGCTTCTAATTCCTCAATTCTCGTCTTCTGAGCCTGGATCTCAACCTGAAGAGCCGAACAACTTTCTTCCTTTTCATTTTGCAAACCCGACATCGATTCTTGTAGGACTTCTAATTCTGCACGAGCTTGATCCAAGTCCTGCGAAGCGGTTTGATTCAAATTCGAACTCTCTTGAGTAGATTTGAGTTCAGCTTCTAATTCCTCAATTCTCGTCTTCTGAGCCTGGATCTCAGCTTCAAAAGCCGAACAACTCTCTTCTTTTTGCCTTTCAACATTCCTCATCAAGACTCTTAAGCTTTCCAATTCGTCCCTACTTTTTCCCAACTCCTCCAAATGAATCAGATCACCATCCAACCTACGTTGAACCCCATTCAATTCGTCTTCTAATCCTTCGATCCGTTTCTTCTGTCGTTCAATCTCAACCTCAAACTTCTTCTCCTTTTCTTCTTTCTCATCCTCAACTTCTTTCAATCGATCCGATTGAATCTCAATCCGTTTCTTCATCTCATCACGAATCCTTTCATGTTGTTCATTAATCCGATCAATCAATTCAGGTAAATGAATCAACTTTTCCTTTTCGTTCCTTAATTCATCTACCATCACACTTAACTCTCTGATCCTACCTTTCATTTGGTTCGATCGTTCTTCCTGTTCGGTTTCTTCATCTATCGATTTAGCCGTCGATAATGCTAATTGGTTAGATAGTTCATGTCGAATCATTTCTAATTGTTGATTATGTTCTTCATGTGAATCGAGTTGTTGAACAAGTCTTTGGTTCTCAGATTCGAGTGCTTGTATTTGTACCTTCAACTCAGAAACCATAACTTCAAATCCTTCACACTTTTCTTCTTTTTCACTCTTCAAGTTTTCTAATTGATGTGATGCCAAAACCAAATCTCGTGTTAACCTTTCACTTCTTTCTTCAAGTTCGTTCTTCATATCTTCATGTAATCCAAACCGGTTCGTTAAGTTTTGTTCTTCAGTCTTAAACTCTTCAATCCCATTCTTCAACTCTTCAATGCCATCCTTAAGCGCCTCACTCCTTACTTTCTTTTCATTTTGTAATCCTTCAATCTGTTTAGACTTCTTCTCAAGTTGATCAACTAAATCTGCTCGAATCACTTCATGTTCTGTACAAACTTCTTCAAATTTGGTTTCTTTTGTTTTCAATTCACCTTCAAGTCGGGTTAATTCATCGGTTTTTTCTTGTAATTGAACACACAACGTTGCACAATGTTTTTCGATTTCTTCCAATACACTTTCATTAACTACTTGAGCTTCTTTCAATCCAGAAACCATCCCAAGTGTCTGATCTAAACTAGTTTTAGTCTGATTCAATTCTTCAACTAAACTCTTTGTCAATTCTTGGGCTTGATGATGATCCGAGTGGTTCAAGTTCAAGTTCGAGTTCAAGTTCGAATCCAAATTCGGTTCTGGAACTTTTGATTTCAAACCCACTACTTCATCTTCAAGTTCAGAATGATCCCTTTGGTGTTGAACAACTTGTGATTTAAGCTCTCGAAGTTCTTCTTCAAGATTCTTGATGGTAGATTCGTAAGCCGTCACCTTGGTTTGTGAAACTATCAAGTCTTCTTGAATAGATTGTAATTCGATCGTTCTAGTTTGAAGTAAATTTTCGTATGTAGGTGTTTGTGAATGTGAATCAGAAATCGGTTGATCAATTTCCTGGACTTTTTGCGATAAGAACATGTGATTTGATGTCGGTTTTTCTGATACAGACTTCTGGAGTTCTGTTCTCCTAATGGGTTCATGTGAAGGCTCAATTTGCATATGATCCTGATCATCTATTCAAAGATGAACCAAAAAAACGCGTCAGAAGTTGAACCCAAGTAAAAAGACCTCCAAAACCACCTACTTCCAAACCACCCAAACCCATCCAACCTCTTCAGACCGAACCCGTCCATCTCCTGCTGCTTCCTCTTCTTGTCATACTGATTCTTTCTAACCAAAGCCAAAGCAAGCACCAAAGAATTCCTTTGAAGTTCACTCTTAACTTCTCTTTCCTTCAACTCTTTACACAATTCATCAATTAAAGTTTGATGAGTAGAAAGTAATGAGCTTTGTTCGATATTCAAAAACCTAACCGCACAACGTAATTCGTTTCTTTCTTGTCTTAATCTTGAAATTAGTATCATGATTTGATTTGGTTCGATTTGTTGATTTGGTTCGTTGATTTTATTACTATACTTTTTCATCTGTTTCATCATTTAAATTAATCCAATCTCGCCTCAGTGAGAAGAACGTATGACAAGTTTTTTTAATAAATGATGCTTGGTACTTACATTGAGAGTTTCTTGTTCAGAAGATCGAATTAAATCTTCAATCCTTTCTTCATGTTCAATCATCTTATTATTATTTTCTTGAGGATTACTTAAAGTTCTAGATTTAGATCTAGTCGAGTTTTGCATGATGATAAGAATGATCCAGATTGAAAGGTTCGGTTGGTGAGTTGATATTTCAAATTTGAGTCTTGATAAATGAAAGTCTTGCCCTGATAAGAGATATTAATTAAATGAATTTCATCGTACTACTAGACTTTTTCTGATGAAGATATCCTATTTTAGTAGTTCAATGCTTTATTATGAGTTCTTTTAAAAGAAATCTTGGAAATCCTCAAACAGAAAGACTACTAAAACTCGGTACCGTGTCTGACACCGTGTATCCGGTACTGTGATATAAAAACCAACTGATCTCCAACTTGAAGCCAAACTCACACTCAAACCAACCAAGATGTCAAGCAATGATCCAAGATTAAGAGCAAGATTAGCTGCTTCAACTTCAAACCAACCTCAACCTCAACCAACTCCACCAGATCATCAGTCTTCATTACCTCCAACTCACCAAGAACAAAGTACCACCACAACCTCACCAAGTTCAACTACTCCTTCCAACCTAACCCCTCAGAATGGTAGCAGTAGTACCAATCCAGATGAAGAAAGAGAATTAAAACTTGCATCACGTAACTGGTCATTTTGTGTAGTATGCGCAAGTAACCAAGTAAGTCTAGCTCTTCAAACCTCATTTCTCATCCACCAACTCACCATTTTCGTTTTCGTTTTCTTCCTTTCTTTCTTAAATAGAATAGATCAATGGAAGGTCATAACGTCTTGGCGAGAGAAGCCTTTAGAGTCACTTCAGCAGGTACAGGTTCGATGGTCAGATTACCTGGTCCTGCAATCGATAAACCGAATGTATATCCATTCGGTACTCCTTATGATGATATGTATCAAGATTTAAAAAATAAAGATGAAAGATTGTAAATCAAACTCAACCCAAATCAAACCTTTAAACGAAAAACACTAACCAAACATCTTTTTTTGGGGGGTTCTACACTTGGTTTTTTTTCTTTTGGTAGATATACAGCCAATGGAATCTTATCAATGTTAGACCGAAACCGACGAATCAAAAGATCACCCGAAAGATGGCAAGAAGGCATCTCAGGTTTAGCCGATATCATCATCACATGTGAAGAAAGATGTTTTGATTCGGTTTGTGATGATTTGTTTTATCGAGGTGGTGAGCTGAACAAACCGGTTCATTTGATTAATCTTGAAATTAAAGATAATCATGAAGAAGCTTTTTTGGCTGGTCAAGCACTGGTGGATTTGTGTGGTTCGATTGAAGAATGTACCGATTTGGATGGTCAACTTCATTTGGTCCTAGAACGTCAGATGGAAAAACATCCTCATCAACTTATTCATACTGGTTTGTCTTTCTTTATTTGGGGATTCTTGGTTATGGGTTTACTGATGCTTAGATTGGTTTTGATTTTCTTGATCTTTTCATCTTAGTTGCATATTATTAACCAAAACTTATCAATTTTTTGAATCTGCAATATCACTAGAAGTGAAGAAGTATTCAGATTCAAAAGATAATGGTGGATCAGAAACCTTTCATTGAGTCAACCAATCTGTATGAAATTCACAATTCATTTAACAAACTTGTTCAAATACCATTACCAAGTGATAAACACAATCAAACCAACCATATCAACCTACTTACAAATCAGTAACCCCTTATTCCTACAAAAGATCTCATATCCTGACCTACTTCCCCTTTTCTCAATCCTCATCAATTTATCATTATTTTTATCATAAAAAAACAACTCATATTTCAACATCTGTTATTCACAAACCAGAAATTGTAAAAAAAAGAAAAAGGCATGAAATGCTACATGTATATACAAGCTCTGAGTTAACTTCAAAGTAAGAGAAAATCGTATTATGCAATCTTCCTCTAGATGTTCTCTTATGTGATCCAAAGAAAAAAAAATGGAGCATACATGCAATTTTACAACTTCCTGAGAAACTCTAACTTTTACCTCCTGACAAGTTCCAATTATCGAATTTCTTGTTTAGTATACCCTTAATAAGACTTGGTGATCCAATCACAACAATTAAGAAACCTTAAGATGAAGTATAAAGTTCAAGTTCAATACGGAAAACAAGTAAACAAAAGAAACCTTTGAATAAACTTCATTTCATTTCTCATCAATCCCCAACTTCTTTGCATTTCCATTTCCATTTTAGTCATTCTTTTCAAAATCTACCAAAATCTGAATCTTCTAACCTCTCTTTATCTCTCTCTCTTACAAAAAGTATTTTCTTGTTATATAAAATAAATATACCATATTTACTCTTCCAAACCATCCCCCCCCCAAAAAACAAAAAAAAACAATTATATTTAATTCAATGTGGAAAATAAAAGAACGACAAAAGAAAAAACAAAATGTAATGAATCAAACGAGTGTATCAAAAAAAAAATCTTCAAAGTTATATCATGTTTTTTTTGGTTCTAAATCTAAATAATTCAAAGTAAATAATTCAAAGCAAAAGCAAAAGAAGAACGAATTAACGAATGATAAAGAAACTATTAAACCAAAACCAAAAAATAAATAAATGAATCCAAATGTACAACTAGCTTTTTTTATTTTTTTTCTTTTCTTTTCTTTAAATATAAACCAAGTTTTCAAAATCATACAATAAAACCACTATATTCAATTTTTTAGATTTTTATAAAAAGAAAAGTTTTCAAAAAAAAAAACCAAACCAACTACTTCTCCTCTCCAAAAAAAATACCCAAATCAAAAGACATACAAAAACCAAAAGACCAAAAAACCAAAAAACCAAAGAAAAAAAAATGTTGTAATACATACACAAGAAAAAAATGGAAAATAAGATGTGTAAAGATGAAAACCAGTTAAACAAGAATGACTATAGATAAACAAAAGATCAAAATGATAAAATATATTTAAAGCATCAAAATAAAAACCATCTCAAAGAACCATATAAAAGAGCATGTAAAAAACCATATAAAAGAACCATGTAAAAAACCCATATAAAATAAGCATCAATAAAGCATGAAAAAAAGTCAAAGAGCCAAGTTTATAATACAAATCACCCTCCTTAAAAAACCAAAAACCCCAATCACTTAATCAAAGAAGGACCAATAAAACAAGACCTAGATCTAGAACTCAACATCATCGAATTCGAATTAGAATTCGAATTAGAATTAGCATTCGATTGTCTATTACTCGAATGACTATGACTATGACTCAACCCAAGTTTTCTATTCTGAGGACTCAAAGCATCCTTCATCCCAAGATACCCACTCGTCTTCGATCCTCTACTACTCTTGATCTTCAACCCTTTCAAACTACTCTTCTTTCCTCTTTCAAGACTTCCTAATCCCTTACCCGTTCCTACCCTCACACTCGTCGTTCTAATCCGATTAGTAACAGGTGTAGTGATCATCATCTTAGATCTTTCTTTTCTCAATGGACTAGCAGATAGGTTACAAGAAACCTTGGTATTCCTAACCAAACCAGAAGAGTTCGTTCTTCTTCTAATTTCCGCACCACTAATCTTTGATGAACAAGGACTGATCAAACTTTTTTGTTGATTCGATTCTCCATTACTTTGTCTTCTGGTTTGATGAATCGAATTAACTTTCACACTACTCGTTCGGATTCTACTCTTAATACTCTGTGGAATCTTACTTTGAACTTCTTCTTTTCTTTTGATTAAACTTTTGGTTCTTTCAAGTTGGTTTGGACTACTAGATAAACTATTCCTAGTCTTTCCATATTGATTAATACTTGTGTTCTTATTAGGTGTACCATTCTTTGAAGTTGAAGTTGAAGTTGAATTTAACTTTGAATTTGAACTTGAATTTAACTTTGAATTTAAATGTGAAGGTAACGGTGACGGTGATGGTGACGGTGACTGATCCACAGAATTTCCATCACCCAAACCAACCTTTTCAACTTTCTTTTCTTCTATGACTCTAGGACTCAAACCTACTCCAACCAACGCTTTCTTCTCACTTTTGTTTTCCATTCGAGACTCCTTAAATAATTTCCTAGGTTCAACTTTGACTTCATGATTCTCAAATCCACTCGGTCCATTCGCAGATCTAGGTCTATACCTTGAAACTCCCTCACTTTGAACCTTAATGTTCGGTCCTGCAGTCTTGGGTCTTACATTCATCAAACGTGATTGAACTGCTGGTTTTCTTGGACTTTTCATTCGTGTTATACTTGTAGTAGTAGTCATAGATCCAATGGTTTGATACACCTGTCGATCTTTGGGTGTAAGAGTTGATTCACGTTCGCAAGATTGATTCGAATGTCGATTCTTCTTCATGGATTCATTCTTTGATCCAGTCGTCAACTTTAATGCTTGATAGACTTCCTCCTCTTGTTCTCCTTTCACATCGTCTTTGATCATCTTCACTCGCGTCGTTCGCTCCACCGCCACATTCAGCTTCTTAACCGGTGGTTCTCCTTCCAGATGATCCTGCTTGTTCACATGAATATCCGTCGCAGGTGTTTGTAGTTCAGTATTGATGAGTTTCTTAACCACAGCAGGAGTCTTGGTCACATAATGTCTCCCATTAGCCAAAGTAGGTGTTCTTTCGGTATTCAAATTCTCTTGTTGTTGTTGATGATGTCCTTGAAGTTTACTATACGGTACAGGTACCCTTTTAGTCATCGTAGACACAGGTGGTGTGTTTTGACATTGTGGTGTAAGAACGCGTGGAGGTAAACTATTCTTCTTATGAGGTGTCTTAGTAGTATTCAGTTCAGGTTGATCACGAAACACTTTGATAGACGAAGTAGTTTCGGGTTTAATTTTACCGTTCGTAACTAGTTGTTGAATAGGTTTATTGATCGGAGTAGGAACACCTTGTTTAGTTTCAAAAGTTTTCAGACGATCTTGAATTGATGATCCGATTCCAATCACTGAACGACGCGAGTGAGGCGATGAGCTATGTGATTCGAAAAACGGGTGAAGCATTCCATTTGCACAAGACGTAAGTCTTCTCTTGGGATCAGGTTGAACCATTGACTTGAGTAGATCTTTCAATGATCTCGAAAGCTGATAGACTCCTAAGAATTCGCCAGTTAGAGTCCTGTGATAACAAAAGATTCAAACGTCAGATATGCCAAGAATCAAATTAACCGTGAAGCCAGATGGGTGTAGGAAGGAAAAGTGACGAACCTTTCGTAGTAAACTTGTAATGCCTCTTTGGTTAAGAATTCCTCGTGATCATCTGATTCAAATGGTGTACGGCCTACAACCACTTCATACATGGTAATACCTAAAGACCAGATATCACTCAATCTTTCATCATGCGGCTCTCCTCTTGCACGCTGTGGAGATAAATACTCTATGGAAAACCAAGAAAGATACAGTGGAACGGGTGAGTTTCATTAAACCAAGTGTCTGTGCGCGTCTGATGATTTCAATCTTCAAAACTGGATGAAATCAACTGACCTGGTGTACCCCAACTAAGTTGACTCCAATACTTCTTTTCACCCTTTTCACCTCCTTCCCAATCTGATCCATAAGAGACGGCAAACCTAATGATAAGAATACATCAAAAGGAAACCCAATCAAATTGATCAGAATCAAAGTCTAATATTTTTTTCCAAACATCAAAAACTTAAAACTGACCCAAAGTCAATAAACACAGGTTGATCTTGTTCACTGATGACCACATTAGCCGGTTTAATATCATTATGAGTGATATGATGACGATGTAAGAATTCGATACCCGCAAGAAGACCACGTAGATAAGGTAAAGTTTTAGGATTCGATTCAGACAATCTGACGGGTAAAAGGTTAGGATGAAAGGCCATGGTAAGAAGTGCATAAGAAGGAGTAATAATAAACGATGAGATCCTAAGAACGTTGGGTGATGGATTAGATTTGAATCTACGTAAAGTCCTGTGAAGGAAAAAAAAAAGGTTAGTTGAGTCTAAGATGATCGAAAGATATTTGGACGGTTCGATCAAGGGATAGAAAAACTAGATGAAACTTCAATCACTCAACTTGAATTCACCCCATAAAGATTTCACACGAGCATTGGTTGTGTTTGAAGTTTTATCACGATGAACCAATTTGATGGCTAAAGTTTTTTTTAATCTTAATTGATTCTTATCATTCAAAGAAGGATTAGTAGAGATACGCCAAATTGAACCCCAATTCCCATAACCGATTTCGGTTTCAAACTGGTCATAAGAAAAAAGATAAGTTGTCATTTTGAGAGATAGATAGAGAGAGATGAAGACTAACAGTATATTGAGCCGCGAGTTCTTCATCAGTGATACTAAAGATATCATGTGGTAATGAAGAAGAAGAGTTGTCGTTGTTGCTGTTGTTGTTGTTGGTAGTTGTAGGTTGATGTTGATGTTGATGATGATAGTCAGATTGATTGAGATGATGATGATGATTTGTAGAAGAAGATGAAGATGAAGAGGTAGTTGAAGAAGAAGAAGTTGAAGTAGTTGAAGTAGGTGAAGTTGAGATTGAGATGGGTTTGATGGTAGTTAGTTTACTTGGATTACTTTGAATCATCTTGTCTGATGGATCGATGGAATAAGAAGATACTAAGTACTATTGATGAAAACCTTCTTGTTTACTTCTTTACTTCTGAGTTGATGTTTGATTTCTTTCTTTCTTTCTTTCTTGATGACCGTTCGATGGGGTTGATGGTGAATTGGTTTGTTTGGTATCTTCATTCGTCAATAATCAATTAAACTCAAACTGTATCTTGAATTGATTGATAACTCTATGTGAATTTCAATTCCATCCTTCAACTTTCTCATCACCTTCACTCCACATTCGATCTTCTATCATCTTCTTCTGCTCAAGGGAACAATCACATATGATCACGAATCCCAAATGGGTAAATTCATCGATCACTTGTTCGCAGCCGAAGGTGCAACGGTGAGGAGCAAGTAGCTCGACACCAAGGAGGTCTTGGAACCCACATCCAGCTTTAAAGTACACTATCGATGATCAAGCTTCTGAGGATATAAAATAGTGGAAATATGGCGAAACTTGAAACATAAACAAACTGATTCATATCTTTTAGTGTGCCTGTTTCTAACATTCTTGGGGTTTCATGAAAATCCAAAAAGAACACTCATCAAGTTAGGCGTACAAAGGAAAATGACCTCAAAAAAATAACTTGTCAAATAACTTCCAAAAACTTCACATCCCTTATGATTCTCATCATCATTTTCAAAAAAAAACTAAATGAACACAAATAAACAAGTCTTGTGGAAAATCAAAGGCATCCATATGGTGTTACAGTCAATTGTAGCTTGGCCAATCGTTTTTTATTTTATTTTTTACTCACATACAGGTCAATCTATAAGCATAAACAGCCTTATACTGGGACTGTGGACTTGTTAACCGGTTTTGACGGTCAATACCCTCAACACCACACCTCAATACCCTCGACACCACATCCCCAACTTCCTTTCGACACCATATCCCCAACTCATCTGGCTATCTTCGAATCACTTCGAATCACTTTGAATCAACTTGAATCAACTCAAATCACTTCAAATCAACTCTTGACTCTTTGCATCACTTGGAATCACTTCTATCTACTCTTGACTCTATCAAAGATGCCAAAAGGACATTCAAAGTGCCAGGCTCAACTCAAAGAGGAAGCAAAAGCTTTACAAACTGCGTCAGTCTCCAATATCTTCCTTCATCAACAATACTCAATACTTTGTGTTTTGTTTAGTGCCAATAAATGAGCCAAACAAGCTCCACGCAAAGGGCTTAGCCCTGATCTTGGTCTAGTAAGCTCTTCCACTTATTCAAATCAAATCAAATCATTAGACTGATTCTGGTTCTGATTTGATTGATCAACTCCTTTGTTAAGACTCAATCACCACTGGGAAAACATCAGGTATGGACCACACCTCTATCGTAATTTGGAAATGGACCATCTGGACCCTTGTCAAGAGCCAGGCTTTTGTGAGTTTTGTTGTAAACACCATCCCGAGGTTGTTTCTGGTGAATGCTCTTTTCTCTCAAAACTGTTTCATACACATCAAACTGACTTATTCACCGTAGATCCCAAAATTGAGGTCATGCAACCAAACTTACCATTGTATACTCCTCCACCCGCTCCAGCTACTAGATCCAGCTTTGTGGCCATCAAGGATCCTTTTGCTGTTGATTCAGGTCCTATGGATCCAATGCTTGGAGATCAAACTGCTCCGAAAAGTAAGTCATGATACTTTCTCTCTTCCACCTCTCTTCTCTCACAACTCGCTCAAAGCTTGAAACTGACTTTGCTTCCATTAGATCCAAAAGTCATAACTGTAACATCATCTCCAACTCCAGCAGCTGCTGAAGTTGCGGTGGCCAAGCGTAAACCGACCCAAAGCCTAGTGGATTCCCACATATACATCCCAAAGCATCTTTCCAACACGGAAAAACAAGCTGGAGTGGCGACTTCCTATGTGGACTACGCAACCAAGGAGCCTTTAGCAGAGCTTCTTCAAATGCATGGGTTTTCCCCTGATGATTTGAAGATGTCTCTTTACGATGCCTGCAACGACCACAAGAAGCCATGTGGAGACTTACTGAAGATAGCCAATGAAAATAGTCAGATGGCTTTCAAGGGATATGTGGTACATGGTGGCAACTTTGGTAAGACAGCATCGCCTACCATTCCGGAAAAAGATACTTTTGATCAATTCAAGGAGATGCTCCTTAAGAAAGAAGGTAAAGAGGTTGGATTTCATCTTTTCATGGCAAATCCAAAGAATCAAGCCAGAACGGATTCAAGAGTAAGTCTCGTTCCACTTGTTTTCTTTTCATTATCTCAGATTCAAGTTGATATTGATTTGATTCTGGATAGGACATGCTATTTGACCAATCATTGGCACATAGCCATCCAGCAGCATTGGATGCTGCTCATCACGGCGTAGTAGAGATGTTGGTAAGTTTCTACCTCTCTTTTTTAAACTTTCTTCATGTTTTTCTCTAACTCTTTCCACTTTCATTTGAGCAGACCATTGGAGTTAACGCAGCCATTCAGGCTGAACACACAAATCTTATGCGCCAGTACGGACATACCAACATTGCTGGTTGGGAGTGCATGGGTTACATTGAACCGGATGATTTGACCATCGTGATTTACTTAACACATTCCTTGATTGAGACGTGGGCAAGTGACATTGTAAGTCCAATGTTCTTACTCAATATCATGATTTCACATCAAAAATAGCTGACTTTTGTTGATTCTCTTGATACAGGTTCATAAGTGATACGGTGCTACGCAGATCACTCCTCCTTGATGTGTCGCATTCAAATGGGTCTCGATCGACCAAGTCAAACCTTTGAAAGGGTTAGCAAGGTCCAATTCTACACCCTCAGCATTGCAAACATCAATGGTCTCACGTGGCAACGGGTTATTCTCATTTAATAACAACAACAGCCCAGGACCTCACATCAAGTCAAACTCTCCAGCCCTGGGGCCAATCCCAGATTTTGAAGATTACCTCAAGTTCTGTACAATTAGCCCCGCGGATCACATCACTAGACAACTCCTTTCGCAGTACGACATTGTTGACTTTGAGATGTTTGAATCCACCAAGCTCACTTGTGCAAAAATGGAGGCGTTGGGGTTTCAATTTGGTCCTTGTATTCGCCTCCATGATAAAGTCTCCTCTTATCAACAGGAGCTCAACAGAAGAGCTAGAGGAAATTATAATTAGTGTTGTGTCGTATTGGAAAAAAAGTATTGACTGTCCTGTAAAAGAGTCTTATTGTGTTGTAGCTACAGTACAGTGTAAAACATCAAAGCTTATCCACATCTTATTGTCTGCTTGTTTGGTCCTTAGAAAATTTTGTCTGTTTGTTGTTTGATGTTCTGTTTGTCAACAAGTATGGTAATGCAAATCCTCCTTAGTGAACAAATTGATCTGCCAAAGATTTCCCAGACTCAAGTGAGATTCATTGTTGGCTTTCACTCACAGTGAGAACAAACAAAACACTAATTATTTCTTGGTGTATCAAGAAATCTCACAACACTTGAGGCATTTCTTAAAACTCATTGATTTTCTCACTTTGGTGTAAAATTTGACCTCTCAACACCATGATTCAAACTTAAGAAATTGGAATAAAAAAAAATCATTTCTTTGACTATTCTTGAGATGAAACCATAAGAAGAGATTTCAACAACACTGTTTATAGCAAGAATATTTGATAA